TATAAGCTTAAGATCATCCCCACTGCTCAGAATATTCTCAATGCTTGAATGAATGATATTTATTCAGAAATTATATTTCTTTGACATCCTCATGTTGATCATCAAGGAGTGCACATGTTATTCATACCTCATCTGTGTACCCACTGCCTGCTCCTAATTACTCATTCTATGTGTAACATCCAGTCTATTCTTCTCTAGTTCACTCCTTAGAACTCTGTAAACAATGCTTCGGAGTTGCTTCTAGCAAGCCAGAGATGTAGTGATGATCTGTTATATGAGGCATTGCCATTCTAAAAGCCAGCTCACATTCCTATCACACATCCAAGGAAAGAGATGAGGAACAAAGGTTATATAGACATTTTGATAGGTAACCTTCACATTGAGCTTCACCTGGTTTAACTACCTCCCAATGATCTCATGTAGCATTACTGTACTGAGCATGAGATTTAAACTCTCATTAATCTAATAATCATAAGATTACTTATTCACAGTGACATCGCCATGCTTATAAAAAAAAATCTCATTTATGCCCCAAATAAATGAATGGTCTATAAATAAGTGTGTTAGTAGCACATTACAACCAGGTCAAAAGCAAAACAGCACATAGCAATAAATTTCTTTGAACTTTGTGACCAATTCTTAATTAAACTGGTGACATAAGGGCATTCAGATTATTCGATTTCTTTTGTTAAACATTCAACTAATTAAAGATATATATACATATATATGTTAGCTCAGCAGCAGAGCAGGTATTAATGAAAACAGCGGTCTGTGGAGTTAAGACTAGGGACAATTGTCGTACAGTGTTGACTGAGACATTTAACATTAATTGCTGAGGATGATGGAAGTTTATTGCTCTATTACAGGCTAGATTTTATGAAAGAAGATAACAAGAGACTGAGGTGAATATTAAAATAACATCCGGAGCTAGAACAGAAATTGCTGGAGAAACTCAGCAGTTCTGGCTGTATCTGTGGGAAGAAAACAGAGTTGACGTTCCAAGCTTGATGACTTCATCAGAACTGTTAATAGCTAGGAAAACATGGTATTTATGCTGAAGCCAATGGAGGAAGTGGGGAGAGAGGAGAGGTGAGCACATAGCTGGAGATGGAGCCCAGAGAGACAGAGAAATGTGAAAGGGGTAGGTAAACAAGGAGATAATGTATCGCAGGCCAAAATAGAAGAAAAGCTGAATAAGCGATAATAAGAGCTAAGAGCGAGAAAGTGGATTAGCTGTACTAAATACAACTCGTGTAATGTGATTATATGCCCAGGAATATGTGAGAATAAATGACTCTATTTTCAGATTGGCAGCATCTGCTATTCTTTGTTTAAATTAGACTAAGGTCCTCCACAGAACAATTTGGGTTTTGGTTTGAATGAAAGCTTATGCTACAAAATCTGAAGCAAAAACGAAAACTGCTTAAAGTAAAATATGGCAGGGCCTTGGCATCTTGAAAAAGAGATGACAGGTTGACATTTGGGCGGATACTGATCATCACAAATGAAAGATAAGCAGGTCTCAGTTCAAAAGAGCAGTTAAAGCAAGAAACAGCTGATGACCTAAAACACGTACTTAATCGAAATGCAGGAAACAGATGATAAGAAAGGTCATCTCACTAACCAATACAGTTTGCATTTGTGCTTTCAACCTCAAAAAAATGTCCCAAAGCATTTCACAGGACCATTATAAACAAGACATTATACTGAACTGTATAAGAAGAAATGAAGACAATAGCTGAAATCTTGGTCTAACAGGTGGGCTTTAGGCAATGCCTTAAAGCAGGAGGGTGAGTTAGAGAGACAGAAAGAAAGGTTTTTAGGAGGAAAGTTCTTGAGCTTAAATATTGCTAGGCATTACAAAAGGCATCTGAGTGACAGGGTCACATGCTGAGAAAGGCAATGAATCCTGTACTTCAGTTGTTTTGGTTTTAGTATTCAATAAACAGGTTGATATAAACAATATGATTGTAGTCTTTCACTGATCCAGCTCTTCAAGGCAGATGCTTGCTTCTTTCAGAAGCACCATGACAGCAGTTATAATGTCAAATAATGAGACAAATGTACAGATCAACCTCCCTAATGTAGGAAACAGAACAAATGAGATCTTGATTCAGAATAAGTGTGCATTTTAACAAGTAGTAAGCCCTAAAGTTTCACAAATGCAAATTAACAATGATGCTCCAGAGTTAATTGCTTGAATTGGGTATAACAAAGTGATTTATTTGTGCCTTTGTAACTGCAAGAATTATTGACAAATAGCAAGGATCAAATGACAGGGCCCTTTCTTGTCTCTGCTTTAATAAGAAGTTAAGAACTCCATGCTCCAACGGTCAGTCAAATAGATGGTTTCAATAAATTGCTCCTCAATCTCAACCAATACAAAATCAGGATGCAGACTTCTCATCAACGGCACCATAGCACAGCAACTATAATTTTACAGGAGGCCCACTTATAGATAGCAATGGCATTTATCTGCACTCTCCCAGGGCACTGCATCTCAGGATTTGTCCTAAAAGAGATATAGCTGTTACAATTGAGCAAGGTAGGTTTGCCTACCAAATAGCTCTGAGATTCAGATCTTTGCTCTCTGGATTGTGAAGGGAATATTCTTATCAATCCATCACTCCAGTCCACTGAGATAAAGAGACTGCTCTTCAATTTTATCAGAGGGTTGACTGTCACAATCTGGGTAATTTCATAGCTACTGCATACAGTGACAGAAAATTACAATTGATGATGCTCCTCTGTGATTTATCTTTGATACGGAAGGAGAAAGTGTCAGTTATAGCACAATTAACTGCATCAGTAACCATTTTAGGGAGAATGGTGGTGTTGCAGATAATTCTGCTGGAATTGAAAGACAAGTGTATGTGTAGCAAACGCCATGTTTGAAATTCACAATCCTGATGATCAGCTCAGTTTCTTAAAGCTGCAGTGCCATCTTGAAATAGATATTTGTCAGTTTTATGAAAAATCTTAATTCAGCCAAGCTATTCATTTACATTTCATTAAGCTAGCCAGCATGGGGCAGATTGTAAAATTGTGTTGTGACAGTGCTAACAAATATTAAAAAAACACATTTAATATATGTCATATATACAACTAATAACTCAATTGCGCTTCAATTTAGTTTTGAGCTGTAGCAATGAAACAACAAGCTTGTAAGATCTATGTAAAACATGTTTAAGAACTGCTGTGATGTTTATCTTATGAAGTTAATTCGATATTCAGAAAGTGCAACAGCACCAGAATAATAGAATTGTTTTTTAAGTTTCTTTTACTGAACAAAGAATAGATTAGTTGTCCAAATATAACATAATGTTTTTTTGTTAATTATTCTAAGTGAAACAGATCAAGTTGGGATGGAAAATTTTACTGTCAGTGCCTGGAAGGAACCCCTTCCCTGCCAATAAGGATGGCATGGTGGTTCAGTGGGTAGCACTGCTGCCTCACACCACCTGGGACCTGGGTTCAATCCCACCCTTAGGCGACTGTTTGCGTGAAGTTTGCATGTTCTCCCCGTGTCTGCGTGGGGTTCTGCTGGGTGCTGCAGTTTCCACCCATAGTCCGAAGATGTGCAGGTTAGTTGGATTGGCCATGCTTAATTATCCACAGTGTACAAGGATGTGTGGGTTAGCCCTGGGAAATGGAGAGTTACAGGGATAGAGTAGGGGGATTGGTCTGGGTGGGATGCTCTTCAGAGCGTTGGTGTGGATGTGAATGGTCTGTTTCCAAACTGTAGGGATTCTAAGGAATCCCTAGATCTGTCTTTACCCAGCAGAGGTGAAATGAGGGCACAGCCGCAGCAGCTCTCCAACTAATGAGGCTGGAAAGCCTGCTCACCATTCCCTGGAAGAGAGAACGGTCACCTTGTAGACCAATTACAATACAAGCTCCTAATTCCTTTTGACAGGGAATACCTTAAAATTTGTCCACCTACAGGAAGCCAGCTTTCCAGCTCAACCTGAGCCTAATATGGCTTTCACCTGTTCTTCAGTTGTTGGCATGTTATAAAACCTATCTGCACTGACCATATGCCAGATTTTGAAATGACAAAGAACCTGATATTTCCAAAAGAGGGAGTTCACACTTCAGCTTCATTTCACTTATAAAGTATTATTTTTATGTAAAACAAAATGAAGAATTTGTATACGTACAGTCCCAAATGACTTTAGAGTTAATGACCTGAATATTTCCAGGATAATTAAGTCCTGCCACCTCTGAAAGTGTGAGCTGACCCTGTTCCTAGGGCAGGCTGCCCTAAGCCAGTATTGTACTGGTGACGACCAGTCAGAGGGCTGGCAGCATGGTTCAGTACTAACAGCACTAGAGGCGGCCTTAACTTAGTCTGTAGAAAGAAGGAACCGGTGCCTTAATATCAACAGGACTGATGGCTGGCCAACATTTCAAACTCACTTATAGGACCTGAGGTCTCAAGAACTCATTACCTGCCCTTAATTGGATGGCAAACGCAAAGCCATACAAAGTGGTCCCAACTCCACTCTAGATTCTGTCTCGTGAGTGTCAATCCTGCTTCCTGCTTTTCCTGTTGGCAGCTGAACATTCCATTAATTTGCAATCAAATGGTTCAGCTCTTGACTTCTGCTATGTATATCTGTTGCTTGGAGAATCTGCCAATACCTCTGTGGCGGAATTGGCATCAGGGATTGTAATTACATCATTTGATTCCTAACGTGTGAGGCTTGTGCTTGTTTCCGACATGGCTAACAGGATTGAGATCTGCCTGAAAATTAGAATGGTGTTTTGACTAAATATGTTTATTTTGTTTCTTTTATCGTCCCAGGTGTAAACTGGGCCATATGGGCAAGAAAATATCTTCCAACTTATCTGTCAGCTGGATATATTTTTGTCAACATAATCCTGGATGTAATATTTATTTCCTAACATATGATATGTCTGATACTAATGCAATTGTTTCATCCACCTAAGATGTAAATGGGTATCATTCTAATATTATTGTTTTCCTTCTTGTTTAGACTCTGGAAGTGTTGAAATATGAATTGATTGTCCAAGCTAAAGATATGGCAGGCAGTGATGTGGGATTGACAGGCACAGCAACGGCAACTATCATCATCGATGACAAGAATGACCACCCACCTGTATTCACCAAATCTATGGTGAGCAGACAGCATAAGTATCCTATAACTCTGACCGACATTTTTAACATCAGTTTGAAGCTGAATTTAATAATCAAATTTTACGTTAAGAACGTGAGAAACAAGAGCCATTGTGTTGATCATGGTAGAAAGTCTCCTGCTTTCCTGAAATACTGTGTATTTTTGTTCAGTTTAGAAGCAGTGCTGTGGTTGTTCCAGGAGCTAAACACTGAAATAGTCAGTTTATTTTGTTGGCAATGGCCTATATTAGTCCATCCAACATAAACGCTTACCAATCTCAACTAATCTGAATTAACAATAAGTGATTATAAATTTACAAGCAATTAGCATCTGCCTGCTAAAGCATATATGTTGGTATTTAATCAGTATTATCAGGAACAATTAAATGGCAAAACACAGATATTAGGTTTAGTCTTTTAATGTGTATTGATGAGGGCTGAGTTTCCTCGTTGCACGCAATCACAAAATCACCCTATTTCACCCGTTCATATTTCACAATGCCAATAGGTATATTTTTCTTGATGCAGTTTAAAGTCAGTTTGAAAAATACATACAAATGGACACATTTGCGTATTGAAAGTGAAGGTTGCTTTTTCACAAAAGAACAAGGTTAAAGTGCAATAGTAACAGTGAATATGTTGATAGGATTAGATGAATTGGAGGAGTCATTTGTGAATCCTAACGATAGCATTGGACAGTTGTTTCTGTGCTGTAAATGCTGTTCATTGACAAGAAAATAATGAAAACGTTAAAGACATTATAACAGGATAAAATCCTGGGACTAGTTAGTTTACATAAAGACCCTTACAGTACTCGTTGTCTTAGCACATGCTGTGCAACACATTTTGATACGTACAAATATATCCAAATTGGAGTAAATGTATATTAATATATAATTATAATGACTGCTCATAACAAAAGTCTGGAATACTTTGTTGTTGTATATGCTATTGCCCCATTTTAAATTACAAATGAGATAGCAATGGACTCTATGCACTTGTTAAAGCACAGACTGTCACAAAATTAGACACATTCCTGCAACTGCAGTTAGAAGAAGTTCAAGGCAGAGATAGCCTGGTCAGTATCACTTATCTTGAACTGGCATGCTGCTCAGTCCTTACAAACAATTCCTGAAGATTACTGCCAAGTTTCCCAAACTACATTACAGCATTGCACTGTGTGGGTCATAGAGTCATAGAGATGTACACCATGGAAATAGACTCTTCAGTCTAACTCGTCCATGCCAACCAGATATCTTGGGAGCCTTCTTTGTTCAGACTGTTGTCCTTATTGCTTGTTACAGGCATGTTACAGTTTCAATTTAAACAACTGTTATTAATTTTTACTGTTTTAGAATGTTACACATTGTAAGTTGAAGAACACAATCAATAATCAATGAAGCAGGTTAACATATGACCCCTTTTTGTGAAGATGTGTGTGCTGCTTCTCTGTAGTTGATCATCCTGTCTTGCATAAAATGCAGAGGGCTGAGGGAGTCCAGATGTTACCTCACTGACATATTTTCAGGAAAAGTGATAGCCTTTCCAAAGGCTCATACAATGCCTTGTGTGAGGTCAACAGCTTTGTTTACATAGTGATGCCTGAAATCTACAGGCAGAATTTTACTTTCCAGTGGGCAGGAAGTGTGGGCAAGGTGGTGTCTGGAGCCATATTGGAATGGCTCTTGACCATGTCCTGTTGTTGGTGAGAGGATTTTATCAATGGCAGAATGGAGGTGGCCCAGTGCAGAATTTTTGTTTCTGAAGGCATTAAAGAGCTGCAACAGGGAACAGCCTTAACAATTTCTGCAGAGGTCTTCACACTATGACTTGGATAGAATCTTTTAATTTTTGTCTGCCTACTGGTGAAATGTAGCAGGTCTCCAGGATGTCTCCATCACGGCCTTATGAAGCTGCTGAGGCTCTGAGCTGCATGCCCTCTCATTGGATTGACAGCTCTTGAGGTGGGTTGGGGTCTTGAGCAGGACAGCAACCCTGATAGCAGCCATTTGATTGGGTCCTGCCCACAAAATTGAAGAGGATGTCCCTGCCCAAATGGCAAAACCCTGCCCTCTATCTCTGACTTAGCAAAGCATGCAACAAGCTGTTTCATGGGGTGTCCCCACTAGTAGTAGCTGCTGATGTTCACTGACTCTGGAAGTTTCAGCATGTGTAAAGCCTACTGGCTCACTAATTCATGCAGAGCGCAGGTGCCTAACTTCCTGACTGGCAGGGATACACTGAATTCCATTCTCCATGGTTTTTGTTTTGCCCCAAAAATCTTTACCTGTTCCACTTTGCAAATTTCCATTCCACCTACACAATTTATCATTTCACTGAATCCACTGCTGTCTATTTCTTCTTAGAATCACAGAATCATAAATTGCAGAAGAGGCCCTTCGATCCATTAAGTTTGTACTACCAAAAATATACTACCTACTCTATAGTCCCACTTTCCTACAGTAAGCCCATAGCCTTAATTTTTATGACATCCAAGTACTTTTAAATGTTGTGAGGTTTCACACCTTAACTACCCTCCCAGGCAGTGCATTCCAGACCCCACCACCCTCTGGGTGAAAAAGATTTTCCTCAAATCCCCTTGAAATCTCCTGACTTTCACTTTAAAATTATGCCACCTTATTTTTTTTTTCCAGGTGTGCAAATACCTTGATTAACATACCACCACCAGGAAAGACGCCCATGTGACCAAAGAATCAATACCAAGCAAAGCCCCTGAAGGGGCAATACCTATGTGAAAGAAAAAGTAAGGGGGAGGGTAGGGAACAAATCGAAATAGAGTTTTGGGGGAAATAAACAGGGTGTCCACCTCTCCCTAAAGGCATCGAGAGCGCCAGTGCACATCGCGTGGTCCTTCTCCAAGGACACCCGGGCATGGATGTAGCCACTGAAGAGGGGCAGGAAGTCAGCCATAACGGCCCCCTTTATGCCCAGCTTGGCCAGGCCCAGGAGCAGACCCACGAGGAGATCCTCTGATCTGCCAAACCCTCTCCGTACTGGGTGCCCAAGGATTAGGAGCGTGGGGCTGAAGTGCAACCAAAAAGACAAAAGGAGGTCCTTAAGATAACTGAGCATAGCATGCACTCTCAATGTATTCATGGTCCACGGACTTCACAGCGCTGCAAAACAGACAGTTGGGCTAGGAGTCTGTGAACCACTACAGTCTGTGGTTACACAGGACTGCTGTGTGCAACACCCTTCCCCCCAGGATCCCCAAGGGAAAGGGGAAGGGACTCCCACATAGAGGGCCCTCCATTGGGAATCCCTGCCTCCCGGTGGTAAATGGGTGTGCCCGGGGTGGTGGGTGAAGGAGAAGAGGTGGATGGTGTGCAGCAGCAGTCTGTACAGGGCTCGCCATTTTACATCTTTAAAAGATACAAAGGTGAAATTCTGAAGGCGGCTCAGGTTGTGGGGTCCAGGCCCCCGGGGGGAGGTACGGATCCTGGGGCCGATGTGAAATTCCGTCTGGGCAGGGGTACGCGCAGACAGGATCCCACTGCACACCTGAGCGTCCTCTAACTGGTGCACGACGTCAGGCCCGAGCACCGCCATTTTGAGGTGTTGAATGACGGTGGCCATGAACCGGACGTCTACCGCGGCCCTGCGTGCCAATTGCTGTGGTAGCATCCAGCCCAGGGCCCCATCACCCAGCACGTCCCCGACTCTGGTCACCCCCACAGCCACGGCCCTCCCCTCCGACAGCCAATCGATACGGCGATTACTGAGGTGCGGATTCCTGAGCAACGGCTCTCTGACGATGGCCACCACTCCTGCCGGAGGGAAGGTGCGACACGAGTCGGCCATGTCCCAGACAGTGATCAGGTTCCTGGTAAAAGACAGGCAACGTCCTGAGGGTAATCTCCAAACCCTCACGGTCGATAAACAGGAGCTACGTGTCATAGCTGAGGTTACGCGCCTGGCAGTAAAAAGTACGTCACCAGGGGGCACCACTGAGGAGGAGGCGCAACATAAAGATATCATTGCAAGGTCCAAAGGTAGCAAGTCACCACCTAGGTGCAATCGCACACCAGCAACTGACTGCCCTCCTCAATAGGGAGATTCAGAACCTATCCTGCGACCCAGTGTGTCTTTTTGTCCCAGAAGAAGTGAACCAACGTTCTCTGGATGTCAGCAACAAAACCAGGAGGAGAGAGCAAAGGGAGCAGCACTCCCACAACATGGAGGCCATCAGCTGGTTTATGAGAAGCACTCAGCTCCTGAAAGACAGGACTCGGAGCAGTCTTATCCAGGGGCCGACGCGAAGTGAGATGTTGGCCTCCAGCTCCTGCCAATTCACCCCTGGCTAGGATTTCTCAGCCGGGCTAAGGTAAACCCCCAGATAGATCTTTTGAGGGGAACAGCTGCTTTCTATTCACCCTGTCAATGCCCCTCATAATTTTATACACCCAAACTCTATTCTGTCAGGTCCCCTCCAACCTTCTCTGCTCCAAAGAAAACAACCCAAGCTTATCCAGTTTCTCTTCACAGCATAAATGCCAGGCAACATCCTGGTGAATCTCCTTTGCACCCCCTCCAGTGTAATCACATCCTTCTTATAGTGTGGTACCAGAACTGTACATAGTGCTCCCAGCTGTGGCCGAATCAAAGTTCTGTACAGCTGCAACATGATCTCCCTGCTCTTATAATCTCTGCCACAACTGATAAAGGTAAGTATCCCCTGTAACTTCCTAAACACCCTATTAATCCGATGTGCCACCTTCAGGGATCTGTGGATTAGCACCTGAAGATCCTTCTGTTCCTCTGAGCTTCCTAGTGTCTTCTGTTCATCGAGTACTCTCTGTCCATATAGACATTATCTATATAATTCCATACCTAATATATCTGTAGGTTTCTTTAATCAGCTTATAATTATTTGAGTGCTCAGTCAATCTGACACCAGGAATAGATTCCATTAAGTTTTCCACAACTGCTGTTAAATTGACAGGCCTGTAGTTAGCTGGTTTTCTCTTTTAAATACTGGAC